CGCGTGCCGGCCGGGCGCGGGGACCCTCTCGGCGAGCCGGGCGCTCGGTCTGCACTTTCCCGGTGGATTTCCAGAGCGCGAAGTGCTGGGTTCTGGTTTCTGCCCCTTGGATTTCGCTCCCGCTTGTGGGCGTCTAAAAGGAACCAGAAGCGGGTAAGTGATACAGAAACTGCACTTCTGGGATTTAAGCCGGGCGGGTGACAGTCCGGATAGACAACTAGGATCCCCCCACCGCACCCCAAGAAGCGAGTTTCGGGCACCAGGCTCTTTTCTCAGCACAGATAATGATTTTGCTCCAGTCTCTGGGCTCCCCCACACCCTGCTCGTTACCCACTTTTAAACGACTGGCCTGTTAATTAACTTTAATTACAATCATCTGGCCTCCACCTACTTGAACCCAACACCCTGCTGGGAAACCTGTGGAGCATGAGTTTTCCAGACTGATCCTTCACCTTTACTTCTGGAGACAGTTCTCTTGGGAGAATGGGTGTCATGCTATTTATTGAAGTAAGTTTTATTTTATTTCATTCTGGCTTGTTTTCTTAACCCCTTAACCTTCTTCTCGCGGTGTGGAGTTATTCTGATCTGGGGAAGGCTTCGTGAAATTATGTTGTGAGTTATAACCTGTGATAATTACAGGGAAAGTACAAGAGCCGGATAAGGTAGTTGGTGTGGAATAATGACATCTTAGGCTGTTGCCAGTTTGTATGGTGATAGTAATTTAACTTACTTTATTTTTCTTTTCTTTCTTTTTGCAAGCTTGTCCTTGAAGTAGGCTGTTCAGAATATATCCTCGGAGTTTAAAAACAAGTGTTTTGAAAATAAGCTATTTTTAAAAGTACATTTAATCGGAGGTCATTATTTCCAATAATAGTATTGTACTTACAAGCTCAGTATTGATCTCCCCGCACTTAAGCACTCTGAACCAGCAGGAGTTTATGGAACGTTGCCCATAAGTAATTGGAAGGTGAAGTTATGGGTGTTTAAAAAAGAAAGCTAACTTTTTGAAGGGGAGGAAAAACCCCTCCAAACTCTTATGATTTCATCCACCTTCAAGAAAGAGATGTAGTGAACAGTCTCACGACATTCCACTGTTTAGCAGTGTTTTAAAAAAGGCAAAAAGTGGGTCATAGAAGTAGGCTAGAGCCCAAAATGGAAATATCTCCCTGGCTCCTTTCCAAATAGATATTTAACCCACACCTCTAAGCTGGGGCCTAACACCAAGAGCGTTTTATATAGACTCGATTTGTGATTTGTCAGTGCTCAAAGATTTATTAAATTAAAATGTACCTAGAGGGTAAATCAAATGGCTCATTAATACTTATTTATGTGGGTGTGCATGTGTTTGTATTTTTTTCTTCCGTAAGCCTGTCACATTTTTATATGGGTTGCCTGTGCAGGGAGAGGCTGATGGCACATTTAAAAACAAATTATCATTTTTCTGATATCTTAAGTTCCTCCCAGTGAGGTTCATAGATATTCATGGATATTTTTCAGATTCAACTACTTTTAGTTATTATGATTAAATATAGAACTCATATTATAATGAATTGCAGTTTTCTTAGGAGCTTTTCGATTTGCATTTTGAAACAAGTTTTTAAACCTTTTCAGAATCTGGGTTGTGGGCTTTATGATGTCCGAGAAAGAATTTCTCATTTTATTTATTCTGTTACTTTTTTACCTACTTCTTTCAGACAGAAAGTGTGGTGAAAGTGACAATAAAATGCTAAGTATAAATGACAGTCATCCCTTTAATAACTCCTTTTAACATATCCTCATTGATTTATTGGGTTCAAATCTAGCACGTAGTAAAATGTGGAAATTTGGGGAGTTCTTTGTAACTATTAGAGGATTTTTAAGATAATGGAAATACTTTTGAGCTTTGACTAAATGTGACAGATGTGAAAAGAGAGGTTAGGAGATATGGTCTTAATCTTTTCTGCCTTATAGTTTATCATTTTGGATTTTTTCTAAGTATTGGCCAAATTAAGTTTATAATAGTTAAGCCATTTGGCTTAATAGTATGTATTCTTTTCTCATGATTCTGACTAGTTAGAAACTTGATTTGTGGAATTTTGTTACAGTTTTGACTCAGCATAAGCTATTTGTGATTGAGGAGGGAACAGAAGAACTCTGATCTGAATTGGAATAGTCATTTTGTTAGGTAGCTTTGGTGATTAAACAAAAAGTGCTTGTGGGAAGCAGATTGTTTTTCTTATACCATATGTGCCTGTGGAGACCGGTAGGTGAGGGAATACTCAAAGGCTGAAAAGATGACTATCACCAAAACAAAATGCAAAAAGGCACTGCTGATCAGGATGAGGAACGAATGGTTTGATCTGTGGAAGAGTAAGAGAATGGTGATTTCCTTTCTCATTATCAAGTGACGTGGACCTCTGCGGTTGGTGATGGTGAGGGACCATCCAGGTTTTACCCCCTGTATCTTCAGGAAATACAGATTCCTTACCTTGCTCTTCAAAGTCCATCAGAGTTGTCTCCAGCCTGAAATTTGGGTGTCACCTTTCATCACTCTTCAAGCCATTATGGGTCCATCCTGGCTAAGGGGTCCCCTTGCTACTGCCTGTGTTTATACCTTCCCTCTGCCTCCATCATGGGATTCCTTCTGTTTTCAATAAAAAGAAGGGTACACTGGAGTCATATGTAGGAAAGTGGATGCACCTTCAGAGCATAATGTTAAGTGAAATAAATCAGATACATAAGTTTAAATATTGCATGGCTTTTCTTATGTGAGAAACCAAGAATATAGAGAGCAAAATAAAAGATAGATAATAGGAAAAAGGGAGATAGATCTTTTGAAAACGAACTAAGATGTGTTCCAGCAGGTAAAGTGTTTGTAGCTTAACATTTAGTTCCTTGATCCATGGTGAGATTACGGGTCTAGATTCAATCTTCAGAGCCAGTTTTCCCGAAACCATTTATTAAAGAGGCTCTCTTTCCTCCACAGTGTGTTTTTGGCTCCTTTGTCAAAGATAAAATAGTTGGGTATACTTGGAGTTGTTTCTGCATTTTCTTTTCTGTCCCATTGATCCTCCTGTCTGCTTTTTTTGCTAGTACCATGCTGTTTTTATCACAGTAGCTTGGTAATATAACTTAAGGTCTGGGATTCTGATGCATCCCACTTTGCTCTTTTACCCAGGTTTGCTTTTGCTATCCCGGAGCATGGTTCATATTAGATAAATCTTAGAACTGGACCATATGTCCATTAGCAGATGAATAGATAAAGAAAAATGTGGTATTTACACATAATGGAGTACTGCTTTGCCATAATGATAGATAAACTTGAGTTCTTTGGAGGAAAATGGTTGTACTTTGAGACCATAATATTCAGTGAAAAAAAAATCAGATGCACAAGTTTACATGTCATATTTTCTCTTATGAGAAAGGGAGGGAGGAGAGACAGAGGTAGGAGTGATGGAGGGAAAGAGTAGGGGATGAAAAATGAATTGGGATGTGTTGTTTATATGTACCAACTCCTCACAGGAAATGTAAACAGTATGTGCTATACACATGTACTAATAAACTAAGCAAATAAATGTAGAAAAAGAAATGTGTTATGTATATGTACCAACTCCCCACAAGGAATGCAGTCATTATGTACTGCAAACATATTCTAATGAAAAAAATACTGGCCTCTCCACCTGTGACATTTCTCCCTGCATGTCTTGAAACCTTTGTCATGAGCTCCTGCATTGATCCCCTCCTTGCACAGTGCTGAATCACTGAAATGTTATGCTATATTCCTGGGGTTGATTTGAGCTGTTTTAGAGTTCCAAACCATTCTAAAGCATAATGCTACCTCTCTGGGTGATTAAAAATAAATGTAGGAAAAATAAGGTTCACAAAATTTTATTTTTTATATCATTATGATTTAGATGCTCTTTTGGATGCAACACATTCTTCCAAAGAAAGTTTGGTTTTTCTATGTCTTCTTCCCTGTCACTAAGCAGTAAAGGATTGTTCAAATGCATGTGATTGTCTTTTGGTCATTGTCATGTCTAATCTGCCACTTTATTTTAAACTCTTGGAGGAGGACATTGTGTCTACATTTTCTTTGTAGCTGTTAGTGCTGTTTTCAAATGAGATAACAGATACTGTTATCTTGAACTGCAAATATTTCCCACTATTATCTTGGAGAAAGTAGTGTTCTTTAAATATTTATTAAATGAGCAAATGTAAGTAAATAGACCAATAAGTTAGACATTTGTTGAGGTACTTTCTTTTCATAAGAGAAAGAAACTTTGACAATTACTAAACCAATAGGAAGCTCTCAAATTCAGTTGGAAAAGAGGTCAGGGTGCTATTTATAAATACAAAGAGGAAACATTCACAGTAGGCTATTTTGAAACATCTGGTTGTTGGTTTAAAAATTTGACTCTTAAATTCAGAGGTAGTGTACAGTTGTACACCAGTTTTTAAATTGGAATGTGACACATATACAGAGATGTGTATAAACCATAAATGTACATTGTAAAATTTTTGTGTTGAAGAATAATGACGGTTTTCAACAGAGTGAGCATTAAAGTTTTGTCCACCATATCATGAAATGGAACAGAATCCTGAAGAATAAAGTCAAGAGTTTTAAGGTGCCTGTTTCTTTTTCTTTTGGTTGTCAATAGACAGATATGTCTACCCTGTGGAGAGGTAGGAGAGGCCAATACCTGTCCTAAGTAGGGGCCTGAGCGTTAGAGAGTTAGTGATGCAGGCTTCAGCTCATCTCTGCTTTCCATGAGTGTCTCACTTATGCCTCTGTAGAAACTGTAGATGAAATTTTCCTTTGGTTGCCTAAGCATAATGGTTCCACTCTAAAGATGTCACCATTAGAATTCATAACAGATTCCAAACCTCAGCCAATTAACTAAAAATCTAGATGGGCCGCTTAAAAGAAAAGGATTTACTGAAGCTAAGGATATTATTAAATATTTAACCAGTAAGATATTATCTAAAACATCTAAACCTGAGTGATAGCTGTGCTTCTAATTAATGTCTCATACTAAATAAAGGAGTTGCACTACTAACCTTCAAGGGAATGGAAATACATAGATGTTAAATTCTAGATTTTGAGCGTTGTGTTTTTCTGATTGCACATTAAGTTTGAAGGTAATAAAAATGTAGCTTAGAAAAGTCCTTTTTCTGGAACCAGGCAGGTAATGATTTTGCCTAGAGCCTGTCTATTTTAGGATCAAACCTCAGTTACTTTCCCTCTAGGAGCTACTAAGTACTTGTCTGCCAGACACTGTTCTAAGATTCTTATGCATATTCACTCATTTCATCTTCATACCAGCTCTCCCTGGCATTGTTGGCATCCCTGCTTATTCGTGACAGTAGTGAGGGGCAGGAAAAGAATTTTGCAAAGGCCTCAAAGGCTGCATGTGGCAGAGCTGGGATCTCAGGCAGTCCTGTGGCCTGTGTTCCAGGTCTGCTCTCTTCAGGTGAAATCATCAATCTCTAAATGCCACCCACATCTGTATTTTGTGAAATTAATACACCTGTGTTCACTGCTGTGTTAAGTGCTTTGTGGGTTTATGAGAATAATTTACAGTGCTTATTTAAAGGAATAACATTACTCTGTAGTCTCAAAAATACCACTCAAGCCAAGAATGTAAAATTAATATGAATATGATCAAGTATGCTATTTTATATGGTTCATGAATTAATAATAAACAGCATTTTTGATGTTTTCACTTCATGTTGTACACTACACATATTTTACTTGTTTAATCTATCAGATGCTATAAAATATGAGGCATATTATCCGTATTTTACAAGGGAGGCATCTGAACCTCTGGGAAAGTTTCATAATTTAATCAAGGTATTCAGAAAGGGGTGAAGCCATGTTTGGCATTTATGCATTGTGATATCTGTAGTGTTATGTGGGTGGCATTAATGAGGGATTAAAGATGGAAGGAATAGGCACGGAGACATCCTACAGTGATGGTGCTTCCCTTGTAAGCCTTGAATTGGCTTTTAAAGGAGAGAAAAAGTTCAGGTACATAACAGACCATGACTTCCTTCCATGCCTCATCTCCTTTCTGTTGTCATAAAAATATAAAATTTATTATCTTAAGCATTTAGAAATGTACAGTTTTACAGTGTCAGGTACATCTACATTGTTTTGAAATGGAGTTCCAGAACTTTTTCAACTTACAAAACTGAAATCCTGTACTCAATTATTGCTGACCTCTCTGTCCCTCCCTGGTAACAAGTATTTCTACTTACAGTTTCTATGAATAGGGCTACCTAAGATAATTGATATAAAAGGATCACTTTGTGTTTGCCCTTTATTTGCTTGGCATATTTCACTAAGCACCCTAATCAAGATTCAGCCATCCTGTAGCAGGTGACAATCTTCATCTCTTCTTTTAAGACTCAGTATTCAGTCTTCCATCCCATGTATATACTACATTTTGCTATCCATTTATCTGCCCATGTACATTGGTTTCATCTTTGTGCATCTCATTTAAATCTAAATCTTTGAGATATGATCAGTTTTTTTTTTATCAGTACTTTCCTACACCCATTGGTTTTTACTATCACCATTTGTGCTCTTAACGATTTATGAATACTTATTTTGGTCTGATGTGCTTATAGGACTTTGACTTGGTATTGTACTGTATCAGTCTTGTATTAGTTGCCTTCCTGAAATGATAGGTATAAAATACCTTTTAATAAACTGTTTATATTTCTTTATGCAGTGACTTCAGAGATGTTCTTCATTAATTTATTAACTCATAAATCTCATATAATGCAGGAATGCAGGTAGGCTCCTATATTTGACCAATTAAATAAATATACACTCCCATAATTGAAGTAAAAGGTTTGTAAAACTTGAACTTACAAGGCATGATACATGTTATAGCCGCATTTCCCTAAGAGTATAAGTGCTATACATAGGACACAAACTATGGAGTGTTTGATACATTTCTACCATTGCATCAGTTATACACTGTTAGTGGCATCTCAGTTAATGGCATAGGTTATGGTGTTCAACTCTTAGAATTTGGGCTCCATGGGCCAGGGATTTAGCTCAGTGGTTCCGGCTCCTGCCTCGCAAGTGCAAGGGCCCAAGTTTGATCCCCAGTACCCAAAACAAAACAAAAACAAAATAATAATTTAGGCTCCTCTACTTAACTACAGCATGGCTTTGAGCATAGGGCTTTATTTTCCAGGTATACATGAGAATTACATCCCACACAGATGGTCTCCAAACACTTTACAGCTCTTGGTTATTATTAGCAATGTAAATCTGAGGAAAAATGAACAACTATGAGTGCATTTTGATGGGTGAATTGGGGGAGTGGTGGTCTAGCTACAGAATTTAGACAAAATAGGTCAGAGCTTGTGAGTACACACATTTAAGAGAGATGAACAGGTTGAGAGGACTTGGCTTCCTGAAGGCTTAATTTCAGCATATGATAAAGTAGGTAAAAGAATAATAGTGGTGAGAAAGGCCAAATGACCAATGTTACACTTTTCAGGGCCTGAGCATTCGGACTGTAATAATCAGTTAAGAGTTGTGACCTTCAACTTTTTATAGTTTGCCTTATATTGTGGAATAAAGTGATATGAAAAGCACAATTTCTCTAAAACTGTCTTTCTCTTCTGTTTGGTTGTGGAGAAACAAAGTCAAACATGTTGTCCCTGAGAACTTGAAGTTAATGTCTCAGTATTAAACAAGTTTTCTTGATGTGCTGATAATATGCTTGTTTCTTGTGATACATTCTTTACTGAAGAACAAGTGATCTTCTGTAAGACCTGTAGTCTGAACTATGTTGTTGAGCACATTATGCATGTGAAATCCTTTAATTTTTCCAACGAACTGGCTGTTTTTCCATAGTAAGTTACCAAATGTAAGGCAGGGATACTTCTCTTTTATCATCTCTAGTACCAGGCACTATCTGAGGACCTAATTGGTTGTAGATATTTGGAGAAATAAGAATTATACCTGAGCTTTTATGTACCATTGTGGGATGTCATGTGTACTTTTCTTATCTACTGATACCACTCAGTCATTGAGACCAGCAAAAGTATTTTCTCATATATTCTGGATCTAACTCTAAGAGATAGTTTGACTCTACTGGGTATTACTGTTCCGGAATACAATAAACTGTCATTGTTACTTAAAATCTGTAAGACTTGTATTATAAGACATTGAAAAGTTTGATTATTCATTTAGCTGTCAGATTTTTTTTTTTGTATTTCTTTTTAAAGGTTCTTTTCAGTCCTCTGATCCCATGATTGCGAAGCCTATTATTTCATCACATTTGCAAGTTTCTGACTGTGCTAAGGGTATACTTCCACTTTTATGATGCCATGCTTTATTTTTTGAATGGATTAAATGCATAACTGAGTTCAATTATACTATTGTTATTTTTTTCTTTTATAAGGTATTAGAATCAAGCAAAGGTAGTTCCAGAAGTTGTTAGTATTGAATAAGAAATGACCTTAGGATTTAATGAAGTTATTTAATTGAAAACCTGATCTTCAGCCTCATTTTGTTTTCTTCCCTAGCTCAACTAAAAGGATACACAAATTCTGTTGGTAATGGTGGGAGGTAAGTGAAAAGTGGGGAGGGGCTTACTGTAGTGGTATGCCTCACTTGAGGCATTAGGAATGGAGAAGGCTGTCCCAAACTTTGAATTCTTAAATGGCTCACCCGACAGTTTGGATTGATTCTAGCTAATCACCTGCCATGCCTGACTTTTGGTTTGAGGATTGTTTTTCTTTTTGGGGGTGGTTAGATAGATTGGAGAAGTCTGTTTGAATTCTTTGTTCCTTATGAGCTTGCTGATTTAAAGAGACTAAAATTTAAAACTATGTGTACTTTACACTTCTCACTTTAAAATATCTCAAAGCTGAGAAGAAGTGCTTTAACAAACATTTGTTGAGAACCTGCTGTACATACCTGACAGTTTTTAAGTTGAAGGGCTACAGCACTGAACATTGGATGAGATACTGTCCACCTGGGCAATTACATATATACTCAGCAGTGATGAATTGGCACCAAGAGGACAGTTAAGCCAGAATAAGGAGTAGTGACTCACAATGTGTGCTTGTCTGACAAGGCCTCTTCAGAGAGCGCCCAGTTGATCACAGACTTACTAAACTGATAGAGCGAGCCATACCTTCACGGTGGAGATGAAGATTTGAAGGAGATGGAATCACAAAAGATAAACAAGGTTGAGTCTAGCGTGGTAGCTCTCAGTGGAGGGGGAAAATGAGGGAATGAGATGATGTGACTTGTGTTCTAAAATAAATCACTCTGGATCCTTAATTAAGAATCTTTTGTATGTGTGTGGTGGGGGTGCAGGGAGCCAAGACAGAATGAGGAATCTCAGTCCAAGAGGCTATTTCACTGGTCTCAGATGGATAAGATGATGGCTTGGACTAGGATGTGAGCAGGGGAGGTGCTGAGAGGTAGTTAGGATTCAAGATGTAATATCAGGGTAAAACTCAGTAAGATAATGATACACTGTTTTTAAAGTGACATGGCAAAGCACACATACAACAGGTTGCTTTTGAATGTTTACTTCCTTATGGAAATGTGTCGGGTTAGGATGGGCACATGCACAATCTTGCTGGTAATGTTCTTTGTGTGTTCTCACACACATTGCATTATGTTGATAAATAATTTCACATTTATAAGGATATTTATATGCGCACATCATCTTGGGAGAGTATATTATAAAGTAACGATGGTAAACACTGACTTGGTCTTGTTATGTGCCTCTTAGTATCTTATGTGCTTTGCCTATACTAACATCTCACAGCAGCTCTGTGTGGTGTAGATACTGTTATTTTTCCCATTTGCCTGATGCAAAACCTGAAGCAAAGAGGTTAATTATTTATGCAAGGACTCAAAGCCAGGAAGTGGGGAACCTGAATTTGGTTCATGCCCTTTGGCTTCCGAGCCTGGGCTTTTAGGCTATGCTATTCTATGAAATGAGCAAAATATAACTAAACTCTTGCTGAGGTCTGAATGTATGTGTCCCCACATTCATATGTTGAAACCTAAGCTCCACAGTAATGGTAATAAGAAGTGGGACCTTTGGGAGGTAATTAGGTCAGGAGATGGACCCCTCATGAAGGAGATGAGTGAGTTTATAAAGTGGGCTAAGGTAGCTTGTTAACCCCCTTTACTCTTCTGCTGTGTGAAAACACACAGAAGGTGCCATCTATGAGGGATGAGCTTTTAGCAAACAAACCTGCTAGTGCCTTGATTTTGAGTGCCTCAACCTCCAGAACTGCAAGCAATAAATTTCTATTGTTTTTAAATTATCCAGTCTAACATATTTTGTGATAGCAGCCTTGATAGAGTAAGACAACATTCTAAGAAGTAAGTACTGTAAATATATGGAGAAAATAATATAAATTTCTCACTTTATAGAGACTGTGTAAGGGAAATTGTGTGTTAGACCTCAAGTAGATAACATTTAAGCTGTGGTGAAAATAAATATTATGGTGCAAGTGAATGTTTACCAAGCATCACTGTGTACTGAGCACTATTTTAATACATGATGAATTCTCTCATTTACTGTGCACCAATGCTGAACTACAGGAGTGTTTTCATTTTGTAGAAAATGAAATGCAGTATATCATCCTGGACATATGCCTGTGTTTACACTGCTGGAAAGTGGAGGAGATGGGATTTAAGCTAGTTTGAATCCATATCCGTATGCAGTGTGTATGCAGTGTTTTAGGAAAGCCTTTCCATCCAAGGGAGGCAAGCGATGAGGTTAGGCTTAGGTACATGGGCATAAAGAATATTTGAAGAGTGTAAAGAAGTTAGAATTGGAAAGATCCACAAACTGTCACCTGGAGGGCCGCTCACCTAGAACATTGTGTATGGCTAGTAAGCCTGCTTGGAGGTCAAAATATGGCAGGATGCAATTTCATATTAAGGAGTTTGGCATGCTAGATTTTTTTTTCTCTTCTTTCTGTCTCTGTCTGTCTGCCTTCCTGTCTGTATCTCTCTCTTTCTCTCTCTCTCTCTCTCTCTCTCTCCCTCTCCCTCTCTCCCTCTCTCCCTCTCTCCCTCTCTCTCCCTTCCTTCCTCCCTTCCCCTCCCGCTCTCCTCTCATCTTTTCCTCTGTCTCTCTTTTTGTCTGTCTTTTGGTCTCTTTCTCTCTCCTTGTCTCGGTCTGTGTCTTGTTTTGTTGAGGCAGGG